TTCAAGACGCCGAAACATGAAACCATCCTAGACTCAGGCTCATTTTATAAATATCAGTGCTGAGGATTGAACTGAGACCCTCATGTATACCAAGCTCTACCAATGAACTGTATTCCCAGTCCACTTAGTCATTTCTAAAATATTATACAAATCTGTACTCCAGCTAAATTGCACTTTGGTTGCTCCATGATGACCCCTACATACCTAACATCCTTCTCCTGCCTCCATGCATACATTGCCTTTACTTTGAATGTCTTTTCTGTTTCAAAATATTTCATCTTGTAAATGAAGTCCAAATAGCTTTCATGCATCCTTTCATGCTCATGTCCACAGTTGTCTCCTCGACAGATTCACTAGTATTAAGGTATTTGTCTTTGCATGCTTGACATGGCTAGACTCATTAGTACAGTGACTCTTCTCCCCTCCTCATGGTTCATGTTCATTCTTTGTTTGCTCTTACAAAAAGCAATTACTACGCACAGATATGAATAGGGAAGGCACTGCAGAACTACTGGTTGACTACCATTGTTGCAATAGGACTTGTGCTCAGTGATGAGAATCTATTGGTGGGGCTGAATCAAGCTATCAATTCCCATTGTGTTCATCTTCTGTTCTCAGAATCTTGTCAAAGCCCTTGCCTAAGTGGGCTTTAATATAACTATTTCCTGCAAATAATTGAGATGATTTAATAAAATAATTCACAGATTCAGGGTGGCAGAAAACAACAAAACAAAAACCAACCACACAAACAAAAATCCCCACCCTTCCCTGCCTTTAAAAATCACTGAGCCATTTTGGTTTTATTCTGTCATCATAAAAAGCAGTCATCTCAATTATTTGGTGGCTTTCAAAATTTATTTTTCATGTCTTAGAAAGAAACACACACACACACACACAAAAAAAAACACACACACACAAAAAAAAAAAAAAAAAAAAAACACCTTTTCAGAAACTAGGGAGATGGCTCACACTGTAAACTCCAAGCATGTGGACCTAAATTCAACCCCCAGCACCCACATAAAAGCCTGGCATGAGCAGTAATCCCAGCACTGAAGAGGAGGATCTCTGGAGCCTGCTAGCCAGCCAGTCTAGCAAAATCAGTGAGCTCCAGGTTCACTGGGAGACCCTATTTCAAAAATAAGACTGGAAATTTTTTTAAAAATTTAATTTAGAAACAATCTTATTTTACATATCAATCCCAATTCCTTCTCCCTCCCATCCTCCCATGCCCCTCACCGACCCCTCCCTAGGGAGGGTGAGGCCTTCCATGGAGGATCACCAAAGTCTGTCAAGTCATTTGGGGCAAGGCCTAGGCCCTCCTCTGTGTATCTAGGCTGAGAGTATCCCTCCATGGGGAATGGGCTCCCAAAGTCCATTTGTGCACTAGGGATAAATACTGGTCCCACTGTCAGAGGTCCCATAGACTGCCCAGGCCTCCTGACACCCACATTCAGAGGGCTTGGTTTGGTCCAATGCTGGTTCCCCAGCTTTATGACTGGGGTTCATGGGCTCTCACTTGGTCAGGTCAGCTGTTTCCATGGGTTTCTCCAGCATGGTCTTGACCCCTTTGCTCATCCCTCCCCTCTATAACTGGATTTCAGGAGTATGGCTCAGTGTTTAGCTGTGGGTGCTGCTTCTGCTCCCATCAGCTACTGGATGAAGGCTCTAGGATGGCATTTAAGGTAGTCATCAATCTAATTATAAGGGCATTTAAGGTAGCCTCTCCACTTTGCTTAGATTCTTAGTTGGAGTCATCCTTGTGGATCTTTGGACATTTCCCTAGTGTTGGGTTTAAGCCTATAATGGCTCCCTCTATTATCTCTTTTCTTGCTTTCCTCTTATTTCTCCCCCCAACTCAAGCTTCCTGTTCCCTCATGTCTTCCTCCCCACTCCTTCTCTTTTTCCTACCCCACCCCCACGCTCCCAATTTGCTCAGGAGCTCTTGTCCCTTTTCCCTTCTCCCGGAGTCCATGTATGTCTCTTTTAGGGTCCTCCTTGTTTCCTAGCTTCTCTGGAGGTGTGGACTGTAATCTGGTAACCCTTTGCTTCATATCTAATATCCATATATGAGTGAGTACATACCATGTTTGTCTTTTTATGACTGGGTTACCTCACTCACAATGGTTTCTTCCAGTACCATCCATTTGTCTGCAAATTTCAAGATTTTATTGTTTCTTTCCCTGCCAATACTCCATTGTGTATATGTGCCACATTTTCTCTATCCATTCTTCAGTTGAGGGGCATCTAGGATGCTTCCAGGTTCTGGCTATTACAAATAATGCTGCTATGAACATAGTTGAACAGCTGTCCTTGTTGTATGAATGTGCATCCTTTGGGTATATGCCCAAGAGTGGAATTGCTGGATCTTGAGGTAGACTGATTCCCATTTTCCTGAGAAACCACCATCCTTGTTTCCAGAGTGGCTGTACGAGTTTGCACTCCCACCAGCAATGGAGGAGTAATCCACTTTCTCCACATCCTCTCCAGAACAAACTGTCCTTGGTGTTTTTGATGTAAGCCATTCTGGCAGGTGTAAGGTGGTTATCTCTGTCGGAGCAGAGGACAATTCCATTAGAGGATTTCTGAGGGTCCAAACCTGAATTGGGAACATTGCATTGCTCTGGTCTGCATTGCAGATGCTAGCTGATTTGCTGTTGAGTGGCATAGCCTCAGTGGAGAATGTCCCCTAGTTCTGCATCTCTACAGAACTAAGCATTTTGAATAGGCCTGCACCAGGGTGGAAGGGGAGGTCTACAGGAGTACTGTTGAGAGAGATCTGCTGATAGCACCAAGGGAGATGGGAGAGAAATGGTCTCAGGGTCAGGGAAGAAGGGTTAGAAAGCAGCCAGGAAGATGCTGAAATAAAGGAGACTCCAGTTTTTGAGGAGGGAACTGAGAGCTCTCTGAAGATGACAAGATGCCTGTGTCTGGTCTTTATCACCTTTGGGTTGCTAGGAATTTCCCAGTCCACGCTTCCCCACTTAGGCTGGACCTTGTGGCTTCTGTGGTTTGGGACTGAGACATGCATTTCCCTGATGGCTAAGGATGTTGAGCAATTTCTTATGTGTCCTTCAGCCATTTTAGATTTCTCTATTGAGAATTCTCTATTTAGTTCTGTACCCCAATTTTAATTGGATTATTTGGTGTTTTGTTGTCTAGCCTCTTGAGTTCTTTGTATATTTTGGAAACCAGCCCTCTGTCAGATGTGAGGTTGGTGAAGATCTTTTCCGGTTCTGTGGGCTGCTCTTTTGTCTTGTTGACTGTGTCCTTTGGCTTGTTGAAACCAAAGTTCGGTGTATGCATTCCTGCATTCACTCCTTCAACAAGTAGATATAAACATCCCCAATATAGCAGGTATAGATGTAGTACATTAATGAAGTGAAGGACCAGAAGGAAAAAAACCAAACTCTTAGGGAATGGAGAACTGGATCAGTGGTTAAGACTGGCTAGTCTTGCAAAGGACCTGGGTTCAATTCCCAGCACCTACATGGTGGCTCACAACCATCTATAGCCCCAGTTCCAGGGGATCTGATGCTACCTTAACACTTCCATGAACACCAGGAATACATATAGTGCTCAGACTTATATGCAGTCAAAACCTATACAAATAATGAAAAACCAAACTCTTTACACTTGAAGACTAATATACTAGAACAGAATGTAAACTAAATACACATATACATATATACACACAGTCACAGAACATTAATAAAACTAAAGCACCTATTAACACATGTAGGACACTGTTTTCTTTTTCTATTTTTTATTTAAAGTGTATACAATGCATTAAACCATTAAGCTGCCTTCTCAACCCAGAAACAATCTGAGACCTGTATTTTAAAAAATACTGGCCTAACAAGTAAGACAATAGTCAGTTGTGTGCTGTTCCCATTTTACACATGGTATGGCATGCACAAAGGTTAAGATTTACCTTAAATTCACCCATGATCCCAGAGAAATAGCACTGAAAGAATTTTCACCCCAGGGCTTCAACTGATTCCAATCCTATCTTTAACACTTCAGTCTTCATCCCTGACCTAACTCATTCTCTTTCACCATACTTTTGGGGGGTGAGGGTGGGGTTAAGGAATGGGGTCTTATTCTGTAGCCCAGGCTGGCCTTACCTGAGTGCTAGGATTAGACATGAACCACCACACTGGGCTCAAATGCAATTTTGATCTTTGTCTGAGGCACTCTTCACTCCCTTGCCAGTTACATCACCTATGTTCTTCTAACCATATCCAGACCACAGTGTACTACAAGATGCCTCTCTTGTGCCACAACTGCATGCTTCCTTTTTTTTTTTTTTCAAGATTTTATTTATTATGTATACAACATTCTGCTTCCATGTATATCTGCACACCAGAAGAGGGCACCAGATCTCATAACGGATGGTTGTGAGCCACCATGTGGTTGCTGGGAATTGAACTCGGGAACTCTGGAAGAGCAGTCGGTGCTCTTAACCTCCAGCCCCACAACTGCATGCTTTATGACTACTTGTATACAAGAGTAGGATCCTCCACAATGTTGCCTCCTCATACAAGTCTCAGTGATCTTTTTGTCCATCACACACAGCACATGCCATTCACATTGCTGTATCTATGTCACACAAAGCAGAAGACCCATGTAAAGTCCTAGTTAGTGGGATGGCATCATCATCGTGACATAATCTAGAGTGATCTAAGAGATGGGCCTGTGGGCCTGCCTTGGGGAAATTACCTTGATAATATTAACTGAGGTAGAAGATACACCCACTGTTGAGAGTGGCACCATTCCCTGATGGTAACGGAGAAAGCAGTCACATCCATTCTTTGTTCTCTACTTGATTGTAGATGTGACCAACTGCGGCCTTGGCTTCCCCCCTGTGATGGACTATCTCTCGAACTGGGGGTCAAAATGAGCCCTTTCTCCCTTAAGGGTTTCTCATTAGGGTATTTATCTCAGAAACAGGGAAGGAAAACAGGCACCTAAAATTACAAAGTCACACAGTAGGCAAAGGCTTCAATGGTGGGAAAACTATATATACACTTTATCTTCCTAACATCAGTCGGTAAATTTAGAACCATGTTAGTATATCAGGGGTCACAGAGAACATAAACAGTGTTCCACACTTGAATTTTACAGTGAAATTCAAAAAAATGAAGGCCACTAGAAGGAGCCCAAGGAGAAGCTGGATGGAGAGGAGACACAGCCAACATGAGGGCACCATCCTGCAATGGGGAGTATTATTATATTGGAAGAATCCCACCTTACTCAGATGTAGGAATCAGTTCAGGGTCTTCAGAGGCACAGCTTTTTCTAGGACTGCTCACTACAGCATCACTCTTTGACCAGGGTGGTGCTATGTGGTTGGTGAAGACACAGGGAACTATTAGGAGTATAACTGGCTAAATATTGAACCAACTGAAAATGTTAAGTTTAAACTCCCCCAACACCAGAGAGGATGGGGATATGAGACAGTCAGTAACTGCTCAGGTTGTGTAGGGACTGGGGCTTTGGCTCAGTGAAACAACACTACACATCTTTTACAAATTCTTAGGTTCCATACTTGGGAACAGAAAATTCGAGGAGCCTTACAAAATAACCTCCTTATAAAATATCATTTGATCATGACATTTGTGTGCAAGATGTGTTACAGAACTCTCTAACCTATGCTTTTCACACTATTTTTAATCACATTCTAATTCTATAGGACAAAGGGAAGGGATCGGCAACTGCATATTTAATTAAGCACCTCAGTTTCTTATTAACGTTTGGCCTTGTTGAGCAATTTGTTTAACCTAAGTCTTTTATTTAAAAGGATTTAAATAGATTTATTAAATCCTTTTATTTAAAAGGACTTAAAAGGCCCTAAATTTGCCTAATTTTAGGTTTTTAACTAGATGAAAAATAGAAAATAAAACCATTCAAGCAAACCATTTATGTAGCAACATGAAGTGAGAATAGGAATACATTTAAAACCAATGTATTGCTTGATTGTTTTTCCTAACAGTATTTAGTCACATCATTTATAATAGCATTTATTTGAAAACGATTTAGGATTGGTTGGTAATTTAGTCTTTTGTTTGTTTGTTTGTTTTTCAAGACAGGGTTTCCCAGTAGCTTTAGAGCCAATATCCTGGAACTTGCTCTGTAGAGCAAGTTGGCCTTGAACTCAGGTCTGCCACCGCCCAGCAGTAATTTAGTCTTATTTGGAGTTATTAGGAGAATTAGTTATGAGCTCAGAGTATGTCTAGATATGTTGCTTCTGAACACAAGAAACCACAAATATGCTTGTAATGCAAGCCTACTGTTCACATTTTTAAAAAGCATCTATGATGGGATTAGAAATAGTTCTTTTGTTTTTTTGAGGCAAGATCTCATATACCTCAGACTGGTCTCAAAATCACTACCTTGGCAAGGATGGCTTTGAACTTCTTCCTGTCTGTTTCTCTAGTGCCAAGATTACAGGCATACGCATCAGAGCTTGTTTATGCAGCACTGGCGTCAAACCCAGGGCTTCATGTATGAGCCAGTCAGTCCAACTTGTTGAAGGTGGTGCAGATTTTATGAAACTAAGCAATTCTGAGTCTGAGAGTGAAGAGTCATGTGGTAATACAAAAAAGTTAGTCACGACCAGCACAACCAACCCCACCAACGATACCGCTTCCAAAGTTCTCAGGACCCCAGCCCTTCTTTCTTCACTCACTTCCTTATTCCTTTCTTTAAAAAACAAAAGCTAAGTTCTCCAAAATTCTCAAAGTCAGAGTTTGTACAGAGCTGAGTGAGAGCTTTGACATTTGATAGTATGAGGTCCCTTTTATCACAGATACTTTCTTCATTCTGGGTCAAGGCGAGGTAAAACAGGAAGGATAAGATTCCCGAATGCCGAGTCTTGAGTTATGAAGTATCCAGATGAATGTGCGTGGGCATGCTAAGATAAAAAAAAAAAAAAAATCTATTAAGAGACACATTTTTTCAACTAAGGCATTAAAATTCCTTATCCTTTCTGAATTCCTAAGATCTAATTTCTGTATAAAACAGGTCTAATGCTGCTAATTTTGTTTACACAGACAGACAATGACACAATTCAGATTAACACAATGTATCAGACACTTATTTGGCAGCCTCTTTATCTCTGTGGGACTCTCTCTTCCATCAGCAGACTCGACTGCTTTGTTCTTTGGAGTGAGGAAAAGTAGCAGCAAAGGTCAGGAGACAAAAGCCTGGAAAAAGGGCAGCATCCAAAGGGGCAAAGGATAGTGACCACTGATGACTAAAATCCAACAAAGATAATTTTGGAATGCAACTATTTTAAAACTATCAGTAACACCTCTGTCCTTCTCCCTCTCTCTCTCTTTGAGGACTGCTTTTAGTCATTTAAAGTGAGATGATCTTTATAATGTCCATTCCAATTCTGGGATTATGCTTAAAGGCAAAGGCAATTACAATATACCTTTCAAATTTTTATTTTTTAAGTTTATGAGATAGGGTTTTGCTATGTAGTCTAGGCTGGCCTGGAACTCAAGATCCTCCCTCCCATTCCACCCTTGAAGTGATGACGTTACAGGGATTTTGTATGAATAACCTATGCACCCCCCCAAAAAAGACGTTTCATCCAAGGTCTCTGGGAATTTTAAGTTATCCAAGAGGAATGTAATACTAAAACTATTACCTTGAAGAGTGTTTCCAAACTGGAATATCACATTCATAAGCACAATAATAAGAGTCTTTAAATACTGTCCATGCAAGCAGTGCAGACTATTAAAAAATATCCAAATAGTAAAGCAGGAAAACAATCAGACAAAGTAACAGTGTGACAAATTTGAAGATATATATGGTACTATTAAACTAGCCAGTTCAATTTTCTTTATCATTTTGTCCAAATATTTTTGTGAACAAGCAGTACTATGGCAAAGCACAGCAGAGAATCAATCGTGACTGCATTAATACATAAAAGATATTTTCATTACTACAGCGCTGGTCCTTGAATCCCTCTGGGCATGAGTGAACATCGGCAAACCACCACAATTATGTGTGGAACATGTTTATTGATATTGTTCCACTGAGATATGAAATAAGTACTGTGCTGGCTTCTAGAACCTGGGACTCTCCAATGAGACCAGAATGTAGTTTCATTTTGCTCACCTGAAGAGCTGCCTTCTGCTGGGCTGCAATGTGCTGCTGCTCAGCATGGTCCCGGAAGTCCTTATTAAGAGAAGGTCTGGAGAGGGAGATGCTGAAATGGAAATCTCGGTTATTTGGCTACCAAACACAGAGATATCCTTATCTCAGATTTTACACACACACACACACACACACACACACACACACACACACAAGATTGGCACATTTTTATTATAGTAAATTACATTTTAAAACTGAGGTGTAGCTGACACATAAAAAATGTACATATTTATGGTTATAGTGTTTTGCTATAAGTCAAACCAAATAAGCGATCCATCATGTCATATGCTGTATTATTATTATACAAGATCTGTCAGTAATTTTCAGATACACATCATTAGCAACTAATTACCATGCTGTACAAATCTGAAGAGAATCATCCGGTGTTTTGTTTTCTGTGTGTAGTGCTAGAAATAATACCCAGGACCTCAGGCACACTGAGCACATTAAACCACAGAGTTAATCCCTAAGCCTTTATGGACTTATATTGAATCACACAGTTTTCATTATTTATTCCTTTACAAAGTTTGTTTTGTGTCAGACATATGGAGATCACTTCCCTATACCATGTAAGTCCTACGGATAGAACTCAGGTTGTCACGCTTGGGGGCAAGAGCCTCCTATCCCTACTGAGCCGTCTGTCAGGCCTTATGTATTCTCTGTATGGACAAAAAGAATTTCTAAGCTGAATATGGTGGTGAACTCCGGTAATATCATCACTTGGGGGTGGGGAGGGGCAGAGGAGGATCTTGAGTTCCAAGCCAGTCTAGGCCACACAGCAAAATGTTCAAAAACTTAAAAAATAAGCTTCTAGAATAAAAGCATCCCTCCTCCTCTTTCTATTATCTGCATTTATTATCTGCTTTTACGAAGAAAGCCCATGTTACTTGTATGAGATTTCAAGGAATCTTTTATGTAAATTCATAGTTTACACCCCCCATGCTTTCAACTATATTTGAAGTATCCCAGTCTGTCACCATACTTATTAACATTATTATTATTATTTGGTTTTTTGAACTCCCAGAGATTCACCTGCCTCTGCTTCCCAAGTGCTAGGATTAATCTAAGGTGTCCACCACCACACAGAACATCAACATTTTTTAAAAAACTGTTAACAAATAGCATGATGCTTATCAACAGTAAAACCATACTTCACTATATGTATGGTTTTATTTGCTGAATTAAACTTGTAATAACCATGTTCTATACAGATTGAACAACTGTAAATTTAAAAAAATACAAAAAACAAACTTACAGTGGCTTATTCATGAGATTCTAAAGCAACTACTAGATAGCTGGCTCTGTGCTAAACAACACTAGGGATAGACAGATATGCAGAACAAATCTCACAGACAACAGCAGTTATGACAAAATGGGATGCACATAACGTAATAGAACGAGCAGACTACAAACACAATTGAGATTTGGGGTAAGGAGATGCTTCAAGTGTAGACCTAATTCTAAGAGTAATGAGACCTCCAAAGAGTACTAGGCAGTGCTTTTCTCTTTCAAAGCATGATTAATAATAACACCTCCAAAGAATAGTCAATACCTAGCTCCAGGGTGACTTGCTGAAGATTGGTTCTGCATAAGTAATTTTCTTTTCTCTTTGTCCAGTTCAGCCAAAATTGCAACTCTATTTTTATTTTGAAAACCTGAAGAAAAAAGAAGGGAGGGAGGATAAGAAGCATTTTAGACCAAGGCCATGCAGAAGTGAGAAAGTAAAATTCCTATTCTCTAGCATGGTCATGAACTCACTAGTAAGTTCTTTCCCAGGACCTTTAAGAACTTTAAGTACCAGATGTGGTAGCAAACACATATGATCCCAGCACTTGAGAGGTGGAGTTCAAGGCCAGCCTGGCCTGTATGAGACCCTATCTCTAAAACAAAACAAACCAATTGGGGTGGCGGATTTAGCTCACTTGGTAGAGTATTTGCTGAATATGTAAATCTCTGGACTCAACCTCCAATATAGATAGTATAAACTAGACATGGTGGTGCATACCTACACCTGTGAGGTAGAGGCAGAAAGATCAAAAGTTCAAGGTCATCTTTGGTTATGCAACACGTTCAAGGGCAGCCTGGGCTACATGACACCAAACAAAACAAAACAAAACCACAAAACTCACCCCAGACCCAGCAATGATAGCATACACCTTTAATTCCAAAGCTCTCAGGAGGAAGAGGCAGGTGGATTTCTGTTGAGTTCCAGGTCAACTAGGGCTACCTAGTTCAACCCTAAAAAAAGGGAGTATGTGTAGTGAGATGGCTCAGCAGTTAAGAGCACTGGTTGCTCTTCCAGAGGACCTGGGTTCAATATTCCCAGCACCATATGGCAGCTCACAATGGTTACTCCAGTTCCAGGTATCTGATGCCATCTTTGGAACTCTGTAAATACCAGGTTCGAACGTGTTACCCTGACATACATGTAAGCAACACACACACACACACACACACACACACACACACACACACACACACACAGGCAAAACAACAACAACAAAAACCACCACCACCAACAACAACAACAAAAAACTAAACAAAAACCCCAATGAACATTGGAGATGGATACAAAATAAAAGTAAGGACTTTTAAGGCTTTGGAGGCTGTCCTGGAACTAGTTCTTGTAGACCAGGCTGGTCTCGAACTCACAGAGATCCACCTGCCTCTGCCTCAGGAGCGCTGGGATTAAAGGCGTTCACAGCCACCAGCCAGCAACTACATGGTAGCTCACAGCCATCTATAGTAGGATCTGATGTCCTTGTCTGGCATGTAGACAGAACATTTTATACAAAGATTTTAAATAAATCTTTAAAAAAAAAAACCAAATACTGTGCATACTATATCAAATTCATTAAAAAAAAAAAGATACATTTTTGAAGGAACAGCCAAAGAATTACAACTGACCAGACCAGAAAACAAGTCTAATAGAGCGCAACTTGTGGGGTATAGAGATCTCATTTTATCGAATACTTATTTAATATTTGACTTGACTCTAAGCTTCAAACTTAGATAAGATCTCAGCATGTGTTACTAAGTCCTACAGCAAGCATCAGGCAGCTAAGCTTCAAATATCCAAATTAAAGTCAGGTGGTGGTGGCACACACCTTTGAACCCTTGGAAGGCAGAAGCAGGTGGTTTGAGGCCAGCCTGATCTACAAAGTGAGTTCCAGAACAGCTAGGACTAAATAGTAAAACCCTGTCTCAAAAACAAACAAATCCAAATTAAAATACCAACATGTGAACACTGAAGGATTCCACATCCTCAGTTTTCTAGCCTCTGCACACCTATCTCAAGATCATGGGATGTGTGCCAGCACACCTATTTGCCTGAACATGTCAAGATCTAGTATATGTGCCTTCACAGCAGCAACAAACCAGAACCAAAAAGAGTATTCTTCCCCTTGTTGGCCACTCTCAAGCTCTTTATAATCCTGAGCAGGCAGACTTGTTTGCATCTGCATTTCTGATTGCTAGCTAGGGGGAGGGAGAAGAGGGGAAGAAGAGAGAGGGAGAGAGGGAAACAGGGAGACAGAGAGGGAGGAGAGTATAAAAGAACTGGAAAACACAAAAGGATACAGAGGAGGAGGAAGAAACAATTACAGTTCTAGAGACTAGAAGGATAACTATGAGATGAGGGAGGGCACTTTCAAGTAGGGTAGACCTAAGCATGCCTAAATACCCATCTAGGGGATTGTGAGAATTTTACATTGATGTACAGAGAAGTGATAGGTGAATGTCCCTGAGAGGGAGAGACTGGTTGGGATGGCACAGCATGTATAAGGTATTCATAGACACTGGTCTAACCAGACATAACTAAAACTTGCAGTTCTCAATTTAACCAGGCACCAGCAACCTGACTATGGCCAGAAGTTTGGAGAAATGTCTATGCCATATCCATTTTAACAATTTATCCTCTTCCACTTTCCATCTCTGCCCCTATTACACCACTAAATTCTATAGCTGCAGACTCCTTTTTAAATAACTGACAGTGACAGTACATTCTGGCATTTCTAAAAAGATGGTTTTATGAGCTTTCCAGGCAATTCTTCATGCTAACTCTAAAGCCCCCTTCCTGCTGACATGCTCCCTGAGGAAAACAGGGCATCAACATATACTATAAAGTCAATGAAATGCCCCTTTCTCTTTCCCAGGTAGTGAAAGTGGTTAGGCAGGCCAAGAATGCAATGTCTAGGTAAGGTGAACTTATCCCCCAATACAGTGGAAACAGAATGGACTAGTTTTGTATGTAGCAGGTACCTGCACTGTTCTGCAATATCATTCACTACTTGGTCATACAAGAGCAAAGCAAGCTAATGATGTCACTGATTATGGTCTAACTTAAAGCCTCTTTCTCACAGCAAAGATGCACTACATAGTTGGGCATGATGACTCACACTTGGGGAGTACTTGCACTTCAGAGATAGAAGCAGAAGGATCACGCATTCAGGCTATCTTCAGTTGTACAACAAGGTTTTGAGGCTAGCCTGGGCTACATCAGACCCTATTATGAAAATAAATAAATAAACGGCACGACAGACCTGGGATGTCTTACTGTAAGAAGGCAAGAACTCTTAAAAAAAAAAAAAAAAAAGTCCAAAGTTTACCTTGGACAAAGAAGCCAGTTGAGGCTAACCAGACTGTCAATTTAAATATTAAAAACAGACTAGTTAGCCAGGTGTAATAGCTCACACTGGTAATCTTTGCCCCAGAGCTCTCAAACAGAAAGACTGCTACGAATTCCAGAACAACCTGGGCTACAGGTAATTGATGAATTCTAAGCCTGTTTAAGCTAAAAATAAATGGAGGCAGGGGAGGGGGATAGACAGGGAGAGGGAGAGATACAGAGGGAGCAATAGCCAGAGTTACAGCTGGAGTAATTGGTTGGTGACTGCAGGGCAACTATTGGGCTTTTGAAATTCCCAGGTACTTTTATTGTGAAGAGGCTACACTATATGGCAACTAACATTTTAAAATGAGCACACAGCCAGCACAGAAATATTTCTTCTTAGAAAAATTTTCAAAGGATTTTCGATTTGCCTTTGAAATCCTATTATTAAGTAACTTAATTTATAATTGGATATACTTGCTTTATAATCATACATAATATTCCAGAATCCATACAAATGAAAAACACTATCAAATTTACACATAATGTTCCAATTCATTGAAAACGTAAAGACTACTATAGTTGAGACCTTAAGTGAGACATAGTGACAATACTGTAACCCAGTACTTGAAAAGCAGAATACCTTCAGAAGGAAAGGCTTGTTTTACCCTTCTGAAATGTACTTCCTTTTTAAAGCTTTAGATCTAAACTGGGTGTGCTGGCAACACCTTTAATCCCAGAACTCAAGGAGTTTGGCAGATCTGAGTTCTGAGGCAAGCCTGGTTTACATATGCATAGTGAGTTTCAGGCCAGCCAAGTCTACACAGTGAGACACTCTCTCAAAATCCAAAACAACAACAACAAAAAAACATGACCTAATGGAGTATGAGTTTTGAACAAAGTATTTACACTATGAAAATATATAAAAGCCAACAAATACTATTTAAGTACTAATAATTTCTTACTTCAAACGGAAATTTAAGGCAAACTAGTCTGTATGGTTATATGAGATAAGGTAAATTTTTTCTCATTTTGTCTCACCATCAGAATTCTTAAAAACTCAAAAGTTAAATTGCTTAAACAAAGGGTTATATTCACTAATGAAATTTTTCTTGAATACCTGTGTTCTGCCATAACTTCTGTGCCTGTGCTCATTCACGCTCAGCATAATAAGGTTTGCTGTATTACCTCACATACAGTAGGTACTATAATATCCTCATGCCTGTCAGATAAAATTCTCTTAGAATGAAACAGTACACTAAAATACTTTCACTTTTCAAATGATAAATCTTATTTTTCTTTTTCTCCTTCCTTCCTTCCTTCCTTCCTTCCTTCCTTCCTTCTTTTTTTTGCGTTTTTTCGAGACAGGGTTTCTCTGTGTAGCTTTGGAGCCTATCCTGGCACTTGCTCTGGAGACCAGGCTGACCTCAAACTCACAGAGATCCGCCTCTGCCTCCTGAGTGCTGGGAGTAAAGGCGTGCACCACCAACACCCGGCGATAAATCTTATTTCATTGTGGCAGTGTGAATGTAATTGGCCCCCAAAGGCCACCGGGAGTGGCACTATTAGGAGGTGTGACTTTGTTGGAGTAGATATGGCCTTGGTGGAGAAAGTGTCACTGTGGAGGTTGGCTCTTAGGTCTCATACATGTTCAAGCCATGCCCAATATCCCAGTTCACTTCCTGTTGCCTGCAAGATGTAGAACTCTCAGCTCTTTCTCTAGCACCATGTCTGCTTGCATGTTGTCATGTTTCTCACCATGATGATAATGGACTAAACCTCAAAAAACTGTAAGCCACCCAATTAAATGTTTTACAAGAACTGCTGTGGTCATGGTGTCTCTTCACAGAAACAAAAACCCTGAGACAGAAGTTGGTGCCAGAAATGGGGTATTGATGTATAGGTTGGGCATGATTTTGTTTGAAGGGATATGGACCTTGGGACTGTATATCAGAAAAGCAGTCGAATGCTTAAAGGGCCATCCTAGGTAAGAATATGGAAGACAGTAGTCCTGTGTGATTTGAACTGGGGGGGGGGGGGCATGCA